AGTACTTATCATAGATAACTTTCATATGACAGCCCACTGTTCCAATCGGAGTCAAGATGGCCACAATGACGACTGAAGCGAACAACAAAACAGAGAATACCAAATAACGTTAAAGAAACGAGAAAAAAGATAAAAAAACAGTTCAGCGTTGAATGATAAAAAAAAAAAAAAAAAATAAAAAAAAAAAAAAAAAAAAAAAAAAAAAAAAAAAAACACATGTATGAAACATTTCAACCTTCGCTCAACCTAAAGTTGAAGAGCTGGGTTAGTAGGTGGAAACGACAAGGAAGAAATAGACGTGGCAGGTATATTCGTCAAAAGATGTGATAAACATGAGCATTTAACGCCTTGAAAGAATACAGGACATCAATGCAGGTATAATCTTTTATCAGACTGCATCGTATCGTCAAGAATCCAAAGATGCAATGCAAGTTGCATAAAGATAAAAGATCTGTCGTGGTATCAATGTTTCAGGTTCCCAATTCGTTGACATATGTCAAGATGGCCGTAAGTCATAGAGATCGTATCATCATTTCAAATATGAGTACAGTTCAATGGGTAGGTAGCGAATCCAAGATATTTCACACCAGCTTAAAAGTATGCATACAGCTGACCTTGAGCACTTAGATTGCCGTTCGAGTGCTGGACTGGAGGGGTGAAAATCCCAGAGGGGTTTTCATTTGGTCCCCCGGACGGAGTATTGGTCGTAGAGCCAACACCAAACTGGGCACTACCTATGGGAAAAGAGGGATGTTGATACAAGAAAGGCTTCTGGTTACCTTGCAGAGGCCCAGGAAGCTGAGCCGAATTCATCTCGTTCGGAGTGACTTGTCCGCTAGTTGTAGCACTTCCCCTCCCGGAACCCTCTGCTGCCATCATCTTGCCAGCAATGCGACGACCGTGAGGTGTTTGACGGATTGAAGGCAAGATTGGTCTAATCGCATCGACCAGGCGGGTTCGGGTCTCACTGTCCGCGAAGTCCATGGCAGTTTGCACAACATAGTTAGCGAAGGAATCTCGGAGCATTTTCTCCAGCTCACAGCCTGAGAGCATCTCCTCGATGAGTTGGCCTCGAACCGGGCCGTCGGCAGTGCGGAGACATTTTTCGATAACGTTGGAGCTAAACTTCTGCTTTGACAAGGCGGGGATATTTCCACGGAACGTCTGACAAAGGGGTTCGGTGAAATGGGGCTCGGCCAGATCCAAAATGTACTGCACCACGTAGTTTCCAAAAGGATCTTGAACCAAGGCAAACGCATTGGAGGTGATCTGGGCGATTAGACGAGCCCTCTGGTCACCAGAAGCATGATCAATGCAGCGCTGAAGAACGCAACATCCATGGCGGTGAGTACCTACCACAACACAATTAGCACCCACAGCATCATAGATGAACTGGGCGTCTTCAGCAGAGAGGCGATTCAGGCACTTCTGAATGACATGATTGCCATTCAAATCTTGAACCAGTTCCACAACGTGATCTTCCAAAGCGTGGATCACGGTTTGAGTCTGTTCAGAAGTTGATATGAACTCGATCATCTTCTGTAAAGCCCTAGTACCATGTTGATTCAGTGCGATTTTCACAAGTTGGTGCGCGGCGTTGTTGATCAGCGCAGTACGCTGTTCATCATTGGAGTACTCAAGCAACTTCTGGCAAAGATAATTACCAAAAGGATCTGTGTATAGAAAAGTTAGAACGGCCACATCGATAAAATTGGTTAAAGGTTACGAACCGGTCATTAGCTCCACAACATGCACATGCGTCTCATCAAAGATCATCTGGACATGGTCCGGGTTGCGCTCCTCTAACTTCCGCTGCAAGTACCTGCACCCATGCTGGTCTTTACAGAGGCCATATAGCTCACCACGATAGTGATCCAATGGAAAATTAGTGAAGCGAGATAGCTGGGCGGACTCCCCTTCACCGTTGCTGCGGCGAGATCCCATAGCCTTTGCTGGACCCTCAGCTATACGGTAATTGCCGTAGCCGGGAAATGCGCCGTAAGAAGCGCCAGGAGTATAGTTCTGAAGTTGTCCGTTTACCGGGAGGGGATTCCCCATGTAAGGCTGGACGCCGTAACCATAAAATGGCTGCTGGAAAGTGGCCAAAGAAGCCGGAGCAGCAGTGCTGGTGCTGGCAGCCGAACTAAGTTGTGGCCCAAAGGGTGTTGCATTAGGCTGTAGGGTGGTCTGCTGAGACCGGGGTCCCTGCATGTTTGGGTCATCGCGGTCTGGCGAGTCCTTCTGCTGGCGGGTGTTGACAGCATTTGCAGGAATTCGGCCCATGTTGGCATTGTGTTGCTGGAAATGTTCCGCATGAGTCTTTGGTGGTGTGATGGCAGGGTCAAATCCATCACCCTTTACAGTAGGGAGGTCATTTGTAGAGTATGATGACTGCAGAGAGGTTGGACGGTTTGACGAGGTTGCAGTCATACCTTCATGGTTCCCCTCAGCACTGTAAAGAAGGTTTGCCTCAAGTGAGTGACGAGCAGTGTGTCGAGGTGTGTTAGAATGACTCTCGCTAGTCGGGCTTCCCAGCTGCTCGAGCCGGAACATGTTTAGAGCGTTTTGTGGCATGCTTTGATGAGAAGAGCGATGTCGGCTATGAGAGTTCCAGGTTTCGGGGTTTGGAGTGCGAGAATTGGCCAGGTCTAAGGCATCCGAGTTTGCAGATAGCTGATCTTCCTGTTAACGGGGTTGAATTCGATGTAGGAATGAATAACAATGACCTACCAATCCTGAGTCGTCCCTACGTGACAATGTAGGGAACTTGTCGTCGGGGTCTGTCAACTTGAGATAACTCTTGATGTCAGGAGTTGGAATTCGATCTTCCTCCTTCAAAGTCGCTCTATCGTCCTCGTTGTGGAACAGATACTTAGCAGTGTTAAACGACTCCAATCCAGAGGCGTTATTAAAGCCAGAGATGTTTGGGCGGAGCTGGGATCCAAAACCTGCAGATGGCATTGAATAACGATGGATACTAAAACAAAGTGAGTCAGTAACTTGTAGCTCGAGATACCATGAAAGGGAACAACAAAACAGGTATGAATAGCAAATATCATGGAAAAGTAAACAGAAGGTCACATCAAAATAACCAAATGTGAAGGGAAGGTCAGGCAACGAAGTGAACTGTTGTGTTCCTTCACAGGCAGCGCAGCCACGACGCCGAGACCATGATGTTTGGTACAGAGTGAAACACACAAACATCCATATTACACCAAATTCGATTCACAGTGATTAATATGACTTGAGAGAGGGAAAACTTACGCAGGTCCAGGACGGAAAGGGGATGTAGGCTCTTGACTGAAATCTTCTTTCTCAGAGTTTCTGCGAGAACCAGGAACAGAATGCACCGAGAACCGATTGGTAGGGGTTTGTGCAGAGGCGGGATTCACCTGGCCCTGCGGAGTTGCTGCCTGAGAAGGGGCAAATACATTGAAGAAACCAGGAGATGAGGTGACAGATGAAGTTGAGAAGCGAGTAGGTCGTGTGAACCCACTTGAGAAGCTGTTTTCCCGATACTCAGGAGGGGTCGTAGGCTCACTGACAGGCCCAGATATGCCAGCTTTGGCAAGGTCCTTTGCAATTCGGTCCATCTCTAACTTCTCTTTCTCATGCTGCATGTCTAGTAGCTTCATATCTTCTTCAAACCTCCTCTTTTGCTCCCGCATATACTCGATGTGCTGACGCTTCTTTTCAAACTGGGAAAGTATTAGAAATAATCAAATACAGAGAGGTGAATGAGAAAGCGAAATAAATAGAGGGGCGGCCAGGAGTTGTGGCAAGGCTCTTGTGACACGGAAGATTGTGATCTGTGAAACTTTTGAGGTGATAGGAAAAGTGAAGATCAACAGGAGTTAGGTACAGTGTAGGGAGATTCTAGGCCTGAAGTGAGAATAAAGTGCCACATCCACGAAGTCGCCAACAGGCAGCAGCATTGAACTTAGGCTGAAACAACTACAATCCGACTTGAACCACACCTCCATGTCACCAGAAGAGCTCGGCAACTGAGACGTCGCTGGGTGGAAGATAGGACAACTGGTCAAACAGAGAAATCTTACCGATGACAATAGATCCAAGGGATCCGGCATATGAGGCGCATTTCCAGCATGATTCAAATAGCTCCAAGACGAAAGCTTGCTAGAGTCTGTGGTGAAACGACGCTGAAGATTGGCACGGACATCACCTGAGGGCCGCGAAAAAGCTGACACGAGGTTCGAGTGGCCTGGGGAGATCGAATTGTATCCGGGAAACGGTGACTCTGAGGTAGGGGATCGCGGAGAGGGAAATCGCAGCTCATCGAGGCGTTCACTAAGTCCGTTCTTGAAGGCCATGATGGCGGCCACTATGAGACGGATATCACTGGACTAATACCATTCAGGGGCCTAGACAAGTTAGAGAAGCAGTCACAGCATGGTATTGAGTTGAATGAAGCGGGCTGTTTATGGAGTTATCAACTCTCAAGAAGCAGTGTCGAGTACACCTGGGGGCTTTAATTGAGGCACAGGGACCAGGCAGTGTGTGCCGGTTGGCGGTGTGTTTTCTTAGATAGCGTGCGATGTAAGGAGTTGGAGAGGGGCTGAGGGGTGATTCGGCGGAGAAGATCTCGGAAAAGAACAGCAACTCACACACAATGAACGCCTCGAGAGTTTAAGTTCCAAACGCGAAAATAGAGCTTGCAGTTGAATATTTGCTCAAGGCCGCAAGTAAGGATTGTTTATAAGGGGGTCCGGGGTAGGTTTGTACACCCAACGGTGCGCTCCTAACGATGCGGAGATCTCGATCAGTGGCGTAAGAACCAAAGGTTTGGGAAACGGGAGGTACCTGTTATACACCTGAACCCTACGCTCTCGATTCGAGAGCGACGGGTTGATAAAGATAAGAACGAGTGAACAGCAAGGAAATGGCTTTTCAAATGCCAGTAACGAAGGTAAAAAAAATATATTGTTGTACATATAGCGTGAACGCGCAAGACGACAACAGTAACGAAAGAGGAACAAAGTGGGAGGCGGGCGAGAGGGGAAGAGAAACCAAGCGTGGGCGGCTGGGACAGCTGAGCGTGCCTGAGGAAGCGGGGAGTCAGTGACTCGTCTCGTTTGGGAAATACGGTGTTGGAGCCCTTGGCCGATGGATGTTCATCATTTCCAGCCTGGCCACTCCTCTTCTTTCTTTTCTTCTTTTTGGAACCTTGCAAGAATGATCTACCGTCACGAGACTGTTGATATGATAATTTAAAACCTACTATTTTTCATATATAAGCCAGACTTTAGTCCCGGTACATCCCTTTGGTCTATTCTAGTTGTTCGCATTCTATAGGGTTTGTGGTGGTAAGTTACTCGTACAGAGTACAGTATTCGGTACTACGTATCGTACTGTACACACTCCCGAAGAAGCACAAGTAAGACATGTATGTATGTACCCAAGTCCATTACTCAGACAGGCCTTGTTGCTGCTCGGTTGCTTTAATACCTCGTATATATCTATTTTTAAATTGTTGATTTATGATTATTGTTTTTGTTTCCGAAACATGGAAACTCATCCAATGATCGTTTTTCTTCTCTCAGGAGGTCTAACCGTCGTGGTGGTCAACCATTGACGGCTATGGTGAGCTGTTCGATGACAACTGCTTTTAGATGATCATTGACTTTTGGACGGATCAAGTGTTAATCTTGCCTGTATGAATCATGATTGGATGGCGGATTGCTTTACCCTGCAAAATCCAATGATCCTGCACGACTCTGTCGGGGTTGAATGGCAGTTCTTGAATAGTGCCGTCGGAGGTTTGCTGCAGCTTTGCAACATGCATCCTCATTGTTACCGACTGGAGCCAACATGGTCTTGCTCGTTCGAGATTGTTGAGCACTCAACCTCTCCCGGCATCAAAGGTTGCATTATCATGGCTTGTTTATCTTCCTTGCCTGTGCCCGCCCCTTTCTTTCTTTCTTTCGTTTTTTTTCTTGACTTTTACCGCCAGCGAATACTCTGTACATTTGACTACGTACAAAGGATTTTACATTCCTCCCTGCTGGAGAATTGTGTAAGGGGGTACGGGATAGTATCGTGTGCTGGTCAAGGCGTGGGCTCTGCAAGTGTAATTCTGCATTGAGTGGAGACAAGAGGTCAATGAAAAAAAAAAAAAGATGTGACGGCGGTTCACGCCCTAATTGCTGCACGTACCTGGGTTAGAGCAACACGACTGGGGCATTACAAAGACGACATCAATCCTCCGTTGTATTAGAAAACGAATAAGATTTCTGGAGCTAATAGCGGCTGCAGTGCAAGTCATAGTTTCGAAACTAATCTCGTAGTCAATTACCCCTTCCTTTTTTTTTTCCATTTTCCCCCCCTTTTCCTCTTCTTTTTTCCTTAGTATTTCTTAATTAATTAAACTTGAGGGAGACAACCGAGACTCCTTAATTCCGCAATTTGGTGCCCTACGGAGCATGATCAGGTTCCCATCTGATGAGCGAAAAGCGAAGACCACGCATACATTATGGATGGTCATTCATTAATTGAGCATTGGCTAGATATTACAGTACATATGTACAATGCCCAAGCCTACCTTACCTTGCCTTTGGTACGGAGTACAGTACCAGACAATTTATGTTCAAGAATTCCCATGCGCGTCTCAAATGGTTTGCGACGGCTCTCTATGTTGATTATGTGCTCCTCCAACCATTTTTTATTTTCTTCTCTTTCCTTCTACCTTTTTTTCTATTTAGTTTTTTTTCTTTTTTATTTGTGTTATCCGTTGTTTTGAGCTTAGCCATTTGGGGGATTTTTATTTTCAATTTTCCCATTTGACTCATCTTTGGTGGGTGGGTGCACGGTTAGTACCAGGGATCGTGGCCCAGATAACATGCAAATGGACTCAAGCGTGCCAACCCGATGGGGATCTTCGGTGCCAGTCAGCGTGGTTCCATGGATCAGTCGACTCAACGTCTCGACCGATTGAGTTGAGGTACACGGAAAGCAGATGAATAATAGAATAATAGCGGTTGAGATTAATGCTGTATTTAGGTGTATGTAAATCAGTATGTACCGGCGTAGGTATGGAATACGTACCTAGAAGAGGTCTCAGGTACGCGGGTAAGTACTTCCCTCTAAGAATGTACTACTACTAGTAGTTAGTCGTACTAGTAAATAAGCGGCCCGGTGTGGATGAACTTTCTCGCCTTCTGGACGATTCGCCTCATAACACTTACAGCTGTGAGCACGTCAGGTCGTGATTGGTGCGGTGAGGGAAAAGCGGTGTACAACCTGGCAGCAAGATTGATTAAACCAACGAACGGTGTGCTGATCCGTGAGTCGCTTCAAGGTATTCCCCCCTCCCCTTCCTCAGTTCTTAGCCAATACAATGATATTAAACATGGCCCCGGTCAGTGGAGAGACTTGGCCCCCTCAGAGCGGCGCCCAGACATACCTAGACTCGTGACTACCGTCTCGAACCCTAGTACAAGCGGTGCACAGGGCACAATGCACCCAGAGCAGCCAAACTCCGATTCCAGATCGACGCTCTTCTACCAGGGAATAGCCCTAGAGAGCATAGAATTCGGATTACAGTGCCTGGGATTGTTGCTTACTCGGTTGATATTGTTGTTTCTCTCCAGTTCTTAGTGCCGTTTGTCAGACATGCCTTACTTGTACTTTAACTAGTCATTAGTTGGGTACCATTCCATGGAGCCATTCGCAGCATTGCAGTCTAACTGGCCGTGGCTCGAGGGATCAAAGGCCAACGGAGGCCAATCAATAGAGGCCACTTTTCTGCCCCATGGACAGTTGGGTCCTTTCCTGAAGCCCTCGAAATTCGACAGGATCCCTTGGGATCTGACTAATGATTTCACCCCTCACTCTATGTCGATCAGAAGACTGTTTTACATTATTCTTGCCAAACTAAATCTTAGATTACACCGGGATAGATTTATGTCACGGAACACAAAAATATGTCCCCAAATTCCCTTGGTACTGCTCCAGACCCTAACTCACCGTTACTTGAAATATCATGAAATCGGAAGTGTAGTTTCATGCCCAAAACGGCCGTGCCCCTACGGAAACCTGTTCGACAAGATCCGATATGATCAACCGTTACTCAAGCGCCCCATCAGCAATACGCCAATTGAGAACGCTTGACTGGTCACAAAGTTGCGGAACTGGACCCGACATTACTCACTGATCTCCACGCTCGGCCAATCTGCTTTGATGCCTCTAATCCAATCGCATGTTGCTCTTCGTTGCTGATCTCCTTATCTACGAAAATGAAAACTCATGTCTGTCAGAAGTCTGACACACGCAGGATGGAGACATGAAACTCTGCGGCTAATACAATTGGATCTGATTTTAATGGCATCATGAAACAGTCGTCAGATTTCACAACCACACGTGATCATAGGGGTTCTATGTATGTACCGCACAACGAACCGAGCCATTTTCTCGAAGATCCATGATGCTCGTCAGTCCCACATAGTGAACTAATGTTGTTGCTTCGTCCGATATCCATGTTGTATCGATCTACTGTTTGCGTTTAGTGGCAATCCTTCTCCGCATGGGAGGGGAATCTGGAATGCCAGGTGGCGAAGATCTAAAATTGCGGTCAAAGAATCCCACCGCCACGGGCACCTCACCCTCTAGAACGATCCCCCCACACCATTCGTAGCGCTGTCACTGAGGCTTTTCGAATCTCTCGGTACCACTACGTGCGCGAAATGCGCCTAATGCGCCTAAGGTTAGTAACGGCTGAATCTCATCTCCGGTGCTAATGACCCCTGTTCCTCGGTAATGGGCAGAGGAGCCTCTATTCCTTTGACATTTGAGGCATTGTTGCCCAACCCCGCAAGACACAGAGCTTGGCTTACGCTCCAGATATGCTTAGGATAAACTGAACAGATAGGGCAATTCCGAACCTACATGCCCGAAGTTTCTCCTTTGTAGTGTTGGTCATTTGTGGTCGTTCCACCACAAAGACAATATCGGCCCCGGTTTGAGAAAGAAATTCCATAGGCGGGGGCTGGAATTTTACTGTGGGTGGTACTTTTGAGAATACCAACAAGCATATGATTCTTGATTTGATGTTCTAGTGGCTCCTTGCAATCATTTACCACCCAAATGGCATTGCAGCGAAGGGTTGCGGATGCCATGACGCAACTAACACACCTACTCGCAACTGCCGCTGCATGATCCCGCACATCCTACTCGCCAGGGCTTGCAATGTTTAGGCGAGGAGAGCGAGGAGCCAGTCCCCACGAGGCACGTTTCTTGGAATGATGCTATGATACATTTACATACGGCTTGTGCGCAGCTGCAAGTGAGTTGTTCAACGGGATAACTAGACCGAAGCATACCAAGCCATGTTGAAATGGCATGGTGTGAGACTATCTAGTCTAGCAGACATCCATTTCCTGGAATCATACCTTACGCCCGAATAGCTCGCTGTACCCTTGTCGAGCCTTGTTGCCTTGCTTCATGGGCATATGAAGCATTTTTGGGCACCATTTTTCAATCGCTCGATGTGTGGTTTGCCGCGCATGGAACCTTTTGTACCCTTTCTATTCTATTATTCTGCGAGCACCTCCTTTTGGAAAGCATCGTGGACTACCAGAGGTTTACTACTCACTCGGCAAGTCATATTCGATACCGGGTATATTCTACCCTTGTATGAGGTCCGGTAGCACTAAGGTCTGGGATCTCCCGTTATAGTCGAATGCGCCTCTTAGAGTTGACCGTGGATCGAATTCAGGGGACACGTCACGAGAATAGATTACTGTGTTTAAAACGCTATCTAGTTAAACCTAATGCCCTCCATCACAGACTATATGCCCAAGAAAATATCGAATCTTTGTGAAAGTGCAAGTGCTAAAGTAACCTAGTATACATTGTCTGTGGGCAGGTCAGGAGATACCATTGCATCATCTCTAGCCTACCAGGCCTATTCTGGTCGAATACCACAGGCACTAGCATATACTGCCTCACAAGGAGGGCAGAAAGAATAAGAACCTAGGATCCATTTCACATAGTGATGCATAACTTGGAATAACTTGACAAGCAACACACGCGATATATACTATCTCGGCCACTTAGTAACCATTTGGCCTTCATACTGTATCTTGATATCAAGAGTGTCAACCAACGAACAATCACCTTCAGTATATCTCATTAGAATACCTGAGCCATACATGCTACTACATACTCGATGCCTTTTATATTCCAACCCTTCATCGAATGCGTTTACTTGTCTCTAGTTCTCTATCTATGATGTTGACATGTTTCTCACTTAACAATTTCTTATTAACAGGCCACTCTAGCCTATGAACCTTTGCGATAATAGTCGGCTGATATACAGTCCTTCTACTTCCTATCGATGTACCATAGCCATACTATCTAGGAAATACTGTATATGATACTTTCTATTCTTCGTGTACCCTCCTTGGAAACCCTCATAATCCCATCTAAGTAAATGTAGTTGTATTGACCCACAATGTAGTAGCTTGTTTATGGAACAATGATTCGACCAGTGCTGCTATCCAGAGTCACAATGACAAAACTAGTTATACGAAACATTAAATGGATTGAATTCAATGGAGTGACGCTTGTCATTGGAGACGAGGGGGTTTCTTGTAGGTTTAACGATCGATATAATAGCGCTTGAGGTCAAATTTGAAGGATTATCCCATTTAGGTACTAAGCTGCAAGGGTCCATCTTTGCTCATTATATATATATCAAGTTGACGAGATATCTCCCTATCCACGTCAATTCATAAATCAAAACATAAATCAATATCTTCGTTCAAGCTTGTCTTCGTATCTATTAATTGTAATATCTGATTAACAATTTCTGGAGTGCGTCCGAAGAGAAGGCAGTGGGTATAGGACAGTAGAAACCGAAGCATGGAGGTATAGTCCCTGTGGCATATGTCGTTGAAGTATACCCGAGTAAGGTAGTGCACATGTACTGCACCCCTCCCTGCGACAGGAAGTGTAGAGGTAGTGGTCGTATATTATAGCATCTTCATCCCTAAGGATTAATGAGAAGTGTAACAGACAAGGTCTATGCCCTTGCAGGATCAGATGACTCATCCCTGAACACAGGCACGTTCGAATCGTCAGAGGTCATTCTCTGCTCAGGATATTCTGTATTGTTCCAAGATTCCCAGATACCGGCGTGACAGTGCAAAGAGGTGATATTCTCCCAGACCAAACAGAATACTATCAGAGCCATGATAATTGACATCATTGAAGTGATGTCGAGGTCTTTAGCTAAACCGAGGAGAATAATGATAAGTCCGATGACAGGGCGCATGATCATGCGAAGGTGCTGTTTGAAGTCTCAAACGTAAGAAGATGCATCGTGATTGAATATACAATGAGTCGGGCTGGCCTACCTTAGACAACATCAACGTTCCCGGCGCATCTCTATCCTCGTATAACAATGCTAAGCCATAGAGACAATATATCCCAGTTCCGAGGCTACCACAAAGTAGCCAACGCTCAGGATCACGAAACCTGTCCTCTGCTGCGCTTGCAGCTGCAACATGTCCGCTTGCGAGCAGGCTGGCAACAAGAGGCAAATGAAGGATAGCCCACCCGAACGCTGTGTACACAGAATAGCGGAAAGGATGAGTGCTCTGCAATGCGCCGTCGTTATGAGCGTATATCCAGTTCAGACAGAAGGCGATGATTAAAACCCAGACTGCATGGAGCAAGCTGAGATTGAAACCAACCGCTGCAGGTGAGCCGACAACGATCTGATACAAATACTCGCCAAGAACAATGATATAAAATGCGGCGTATCGATCGACTTCATGCGCGATATCAACGGCAGTTGTATACTTGGCTTTCAGCATCTTCTTAGCTGCCGGCGAATAACAGAAGACCCAACTGCACTCCTCGAAGACAACGCCAACGGCAGCCGCGGCGATTTTGCCGCGCAGGGGTACGGACTCGAAGTATAGCGGGATATATATAAGCATCGAAATCAATGTAAGCGAAACCCACAGCCTCTGTTGCTTTCTGTGGTGATAGCTGGCAAAGGAGTATAGTAGGTGTGCTGCGCTGCATGAGATGCGTGCAACCATGTATGAGCCGACGGTGGCTCGCATAGCGCTGATATCCTCATCCACGAGGGATGCATTGTTCCCGTACATAACAAGAACTGCCATTATCCATAGAATAAGTGCGCGCTGTAGTAGGTCGTCATTATAGAATGAGTTCATCAATTCCCGGAGATCGGCCCAAACATGCCAAGTAGGCGCGAGTATAAGCTATGCATCAGTCATGTTAGCACAGTATGACCCTCTGTGGATGAAGCGTCGATGTACACTAACAATATACTTGACTAATTTTGCTCCCGAAATGTCCTCAGCAAGAGTCTCGGCGAAGTTTGCCAAAATCGCGACATAAAGAAGGTCCAGGAAGAGTTCAAAGCGTCCTGAGAGTGGAGCTGTTAGCACCGCAGCACTTGCATTCAGCTAGCGAATATGTAGACATGCTTACCTGCCTGTCGCTCCTCTTCATGCCGTTTTATGAGTTTCCCATTTTCAAACCACTGCAGCGCAACCGGTTGACGAAAGAGATACCGCGGGGTTGGCTGGAGTTCACTGAGATCGATTCCTGGAATGCTGGCCATTGCTGTATAGGCAATTGCCGAGAGAGCGAGAAAGACGAGATAGTAAAGGGAGTCTCGGAGAGAAAAAGCTTCGCGTGAATTAAGGTTAAAAACAAGCCCTAGATATTCAGGGCTTCATAGATCAATTTCCGAAAACGGCTAGAAAGAGGTATCCTGATGCAGTTAGATCAATCGGCATCCATGGACCCATCTGGCCCACTACGTAGGGCTGTTTGTATAGTTTGTTCATCGTAGCATACAATCCTCTAGTGCCTGATATATTGGGCACCAACTTTCTTGTCTGCCGGAACTTGAAAACCGATGGAGAATTGGTTACCCGCTGATACTGAAGGAGTCCGTCATGGATGTCTTCCCCACAAGGTTCCCGGGGCTCAAATTCCCTTAACATGTCATTTAAAGGGTTGAATGCTATGGCAATCGCTCTTCAATACAGATAGGGCGGGAGTCATCGTAGTTATCCATGCCTTTGTAATGCGACGACGGATAGCGCTTAGAGATACCTAGTTTAGATACTCCGTGGCCACGAAGTGTTTAACCCCGTATCAAAATCCCCGAAAGGTCAACGTGGGGGTGGGTCTTATCAGTTGGGCCAGTAAGGCCAGGAAATACAGTGGAACAAAGCGTTGATCAAGGAAATTTTTTTTTCATCTCTCGCTTATCTGACTTTTATATATTTATTTTCCCGGACTGTGCTGGACAATCTGACATTCACAATCCGTAGAGTACTACCTGTATCTATTAACGAATTCTTACCAGCTACACCTGCTTCACTTAGCCATGGGTATGGTTCGCAGGCTTCCAGGATATGTGGTCGCTAGTACGCTGTGCTCCTGCGGCGGGCTGTTGTTTGGGTAAGATCACATATCCGAATTGCTCATCTTTTCTATATTGCCCGGAATACTGATACGTTAGAAATAGGATGGACACTGGCATCATTGGCCCTGTAACTACTATGGATAGCTTTGTTGCCCAATTCGGTAGCCAATCTGCAACCGTTCATGGATTGATAGTATCATCGATTTTGATTCCAGCAGCTGTCTCGTCCTTTTTTGCCGGCTTTCTTGCAGACAAATTGGGCAGGTCAAAGGGTATCAGTATTGGTGCCCTGATATTTGCTCTTGGAGCTGCGCTTGAGGCCGCAGCGGCCCATATCGCTATGTTTATAGTTGGAAGGTGTGTCGAGGGAATAGGGGAGGGTCTCTACCTGGGGACGCTGGTCGTGTATGATATTCAACTATTACCTCTCTTGAACCCATGTCAGCTAGCTAACATAAGGTTCATAGCTACATTTGCGAAATTTCACCGACTAGCGTCCGAGGAGTGCTGACTACAGGCCCTCAGTTGCTGATTACCCTGGGATTGGTGGTCGGTTTCTTTACTTGCTATGGGACTGCTCGCATTGAGTCTTCGTTCTCATGGCGGACACCATTCCTTATACTGGCGTGCCTAGCGGTCACTTTTTCGGTAGTTTCATGGCTCTGGCTTCCCCCGTCACCGAGATGGCTGAAGCTTCACGGTCGTGAAACAGAAGCAACAGCAGCGTGGGATCGTCTGGGAGTCACTCATGCAGAACGAGAAAAGATGGAGGTGGAAGAGGATCGAGAGACTAATATGCAACGAAGGACAGCCCCAGAAGCTGGCAATGCATCTACTGTGGAACGGATCACGTCTGGTCCCAAGCCCCAAGTTCAATCCGTCAAAGACAAGCTTTTCGACATCTTCTCAAAAGATGTTCGGACACGAACAGCACTTGCTGTATTTCTAATGGGAATGCAGCAACTTAGTGGAATTGATGGCGTGCTCTACGTGAGTTTGTTTATTCTTCTAAATGCTCGGTTTAGTCTAACATTGTTCCTTTATAGTACGCTCCTCTACTTTTCCAACAAGCTGGACTTGCAACCACGGATGCCAGCTTTTTTGCTTCGGGTGTCTCTGCTCTTGTTATTTTCGGTGTAACAATCCCTGCCCTTATATGGGCTGACAGGTGGGGTCGTCGACACAGTACTATCTATGGTGGCATTGGGCTCAGCATAACAATGTTCTTGATGGGAGCTTTGTACGCGGGAAATGCTGTGCATAGCTCAACTGGTGCAGGCAGATGGGTTGTGATTGTTTCCATTTACATCTTCGCAGTTATTTACTCCCTCAGCTGGGCAGTTGGGATCAAAATTTACGCTGCGGAAATCCAACCGCAGCGAACGCGCGCCTCAGCAACGAGTTTAGCACATGGAAGCAACTGGACGGCCAACTTCATTGTGGCCCTTACGACTCCCATCCTGTTATCTCGCAGTAGCTTTGGTGCTTACTTCCTCTTTGGAGGGTGCACGCTGATAACTGCTCTGATCTGTGCAATCTTCATGCCAGAAACTAAGGGCAGGTCCCTGGATGAGATTGAGGAGGCCTTTAAATCGAAGTCCTTGGGGTCACAGTCCTTTGTCAAAATCATCCGACCAATTACCCGACAGACTTCATGATAGATTGAGATCGAGCTCTCAGTACTGAACGAATATTATTCTAACTTATACTCAAATGTAAATGTATACTACTGTACATATGTATGTAGTATGTAGTTTATGTATGGAGTACATACAGAGTATGTGGGTGATAAGATAAGCGGCTTGGTGCGGAGCTAGCCATTTTGGGACAGTTACCTGGTCTGCTTACTAAACCGCCGCTTTGAATGAAATTAATTTAATAATTTATTCGGACCTTTTCCCCTCGCCGATAACGAAGAAATTGTGTGCCGCGTATTCAAACCACCATGATACACCTCCCATCTCTGTCAAACTAACGCAGAGCTTACCTAGCATATTATCTTGGTGGACCTCTCTTCTACAACAGCAATGCCTCCTCGTAGGAAGCCACAGGCTCCTGCCGCGCGATCTGCAGACGTACGGCAAATACTTCTCCGCATCTTGATAACTGTATCCTCTGTCCATACTGACATTTTCTGGTCTCCGTATAGGCTACGACAGCGTCGAGAAGAGCAGCTGCAGGGCCTTCAGCGACACAGAAACGTCCATCCGTGTCGAAACAGGCGTCGAATCCTACACAGCCGGAGCCAAGCGTCGAGGAGCAGAATAACCAAGCCGATGAACACCCACATGTACCATATCGCCACCGCGATCCTTTCGATGCGCTCCTAGAGCCCTTCTATTACAACAAGTCTTTGACTGATCCGATCAACACCGCCAAGGATAAATGGAATTTGTTGCCAGCTTTCTTGAAGGTGAAGGGGTTGGTCAAACAGCACATTGACTCATACAACTACCTCGTGGAAGTACAGTTGAAAAAGATCGTTGAGTCGAGCTCTATCATCCGTAGTGATATAGATCACAACTTCTACATTAAGTTTACCGACATTTATCTTGGAGCTCCACGACGTGCAGACGAACAGCAAGATGCTGGCCCGGGATTTTCAGGGTCGACCGTGAGTCCTCAGGAATGCCGACTTCGTGATACTACATACGCAGCCCCGATTCAAGTTGATTTCGAATATGTACGTGGTCGTCAACGTGTGAAGAAGACGGGCTATTCCATTGGCCGCATGCCGGTCATGCTTCGTAGCTCGAAGTGTGTTCTGTCCGATAAGACCCCAGCAGAGATGACTGTGTTGAATGAATGTCCTTTGGACCCTGGTGGTTACTTCATTGTGAACGGTACAGAGAAGGTTATTCTGGTCCAAGAACAGTTGAGCAAGAACAGAATTATCGTTGAAACGGACCCGAAGAAGGAAATCGTGCAGGCGTCCGTTACTAGGTAAGCTCATCATGCGCCAATATTTATTCCCTGTTTGCCTCTAACATCTGGCAACAGTTCCTCCAATGAGCGCAAATCTAAGAGTTATATCGTCCTAAAGAAGGACAAGCTTTACGTGAAACATAACGTGCTTAGCGAGGATATCCCTATCGTTATCTTGCTGAAAGCAATGGGCATCCACACCGACAAGGAGATGCTCCTTCTTGTTGCTGGTATTGATAAAGTGTACCAGGAAGACTTTGCGATCAATTTCGAGGAGGCCATTAAGCTTGGCATCTACACACAGCAGCAAGCGTTGGACTGGATTGGCTCTCGAATTAAGATCAACCGCGGAAAACAAAACAATTATCGCCGGACCCATGTGCAAGAAGCCGTTGAAGCTATTGCATCCGTTATAATATCCCATATTGAAGTAAAAGACATGAACTTTCGACCGAAGGCAGTCTATGTTGCTCACATGGCGCGTCGTGTTCTTATGGCTAAGAATGACCCCTCGCTGGTAGATGATCGTGACTACCTTGGTAACAAGAGATTGGAATTGGCTGGTCAGCTACTGGCCCTCCTTTTCGAGGATCTCTTCAAGAAGTTTTGCTTTGATATCAAAATGAATGTTGACAAGGTTTTAAACAAACGCAACAGAGCTGAGGCTTTTGATGCCTGGACTGTTATGAGCATGCACGGCAATCATATCACCCAAGGTATGAATCGTGCTATCTCGACGGGTAATTGGAGCTTGAAGCGTTTCCGTATGGAGCGTGCTGGTGTTACTCATGTGCTCAGTCGACTGAGCTATATTGCGGCACTGGGTATGATGACTCGTATTAGCAGTCAGTTCGAGAAAACCCGAAAGGTCAGCGGTCCCAGAGCTCTACAGCCGTCTCAATTTGGCATGCTTTGTCTCGCAGATACACCAGAAGGTGAAGCTTGTGGTCTTGTGAAAAACTTGGCGCTTATGACCCATATCACGACCAATGACGAAGAAGGCCCGATAAGAAACTTGATCTTCATGCTAGGCGCAGAAGATATCTCCACGCTTGGCGGAAAGGAGCTTTACGGCCCTGGTTGCTACACCATCTCCATCAACGGAACACCGATGGCATTGACGCGTCGCCCGAAGTATTTCCTTGATGCTTTCCGGAGATTGCGTCGAATGGGCAGAATTTCGGAGTTTGTCAGTATCTATATCAATCACCACCAGCGTGCTGTCCATGTTGCTACCGATGATGGACGAATTTGCCGCC